CTCTGCGAGGCCGTCCACTATCACTTGGAGGACTCTACCCTCCCTGCAGCTGAGCGCCTTCAGCTCGCGCTCTCTGCCCTCTCTCGGGCACGCAACCGCCCCGGTCATGCTGGCGCATCGCCCCCCAAGGTCCCTCAGGAGAACCTCCCTCAGGGCTTCGTCCCTCCCCGTGGTGTCCTTTCCCCTGAGAAGCGCGCGGCTATTCTGGGCCGGCGTGGGTGTTTGCGCTGCCGCTTGGACGGTCATACCTCCTCGCGGTGCCCTTACACTACCGCCCTCGACCACCACTACGCTAACCTTTCTCGTCAACGTCGTGCTCAGTCGCCCCCGGCGCCTCACGTCCCCGCGGTGCCTCCTAGCCACGGTGCAGTGTACACCTGCGCCCTCCTCAGTAGTGGGCTTCCCGACATCTCCGTCGCGGTTCGCCCCTCTCGCTATTGGAGTTAAGGTATCGCAGGACTCGACAGAGTGTACTCAGCCCTCTGTCGCAATACCGTTTGCGCCTCCGCAGACCACCGTCTCCCCTCCTTCCCCGTCGCGACTACCGACGCGTCGAGCCATTCGCTCAGCCCGTTGCAGCGAGCAGCTTGCTACTCGCGAGGACGTTGTGTCCTCTCTTCTGGACTTGAGCATGCTCCAGGCTCGTCAGGAGCGACTCACCCTCCATGTCGCTGCACTGCGTCGTCTTCTCACCATCCTCTCTGACCCTGATTGCACCCTCCCGATCATCCCCGTACGACTCGGGACCTCCACGAGGGTGTACTCAGCGCTGTGGGATTCCGGTTCTCAGGGCGACTTCATTCACCCACGCGTGGTGAAGGAAGCCCGCTTACCCACGACAGGGTCTCCGACTCCCATCTCCGTTACCCTAGGGGATGACAAGAGTCAGCGCTTCTTCGATCAAACAGTCACCGATCTCCCTTTCTTCCTCACTCTATGTGGTCTCAACCATAGACCAGGGGGGTCCGGCGTTTTGGGAACGCCGGACCCCCAAGATCAAAAAATTCCGACCGGATTTTGGGAAAAAAAGTCAGTTTTGATTTCGTCGAAAAATATAATATGTCCGTTTTGACGATATGGTTGTTTCCTCTGCACATTTCGATGTGATTGAGACGGGGTACGACTTAATTCTCGGCACTCCGTGGTCTCGTCGGTTCCACAGCACTGAGGCCGATTGGGCGACCAACCCTCTCGTTCTCAAAACGAAGTGTGGACAAGCGTATCGCGTTCCTTTCATAGGTACCACGGCGACACCACGCCCCGATCCTCCTCCCCCGGARCCTTCAGTGCCCACACCATCTCCCTCTATCACGGTCACCTCGCCTCGGCAGTTCGCTCACTTCATTCGACAGGACGACGTCACCTTCTTTATGGTGGACGTGACGGATCTCTTACACTATGATCCACCCTGTCTCGATGCCGAGCTCATCCCTCTGGAGCCTGATCCTCCCTCTATCTCCATGGCTCCCATCTCTACTTCCGTCCCTCCGCCGTCCGTCGAGTCCACCCCGCCGTCGCGCGCTGACGCTGACGCTGAGGAACTCGCACGATTACGGCTGACTTGGAGCCCGCAGTTCGTGACCTCACCCGAGAGTACCACGACGTTTTCCCATCGTCGTTCTCGTACGCCGGCATCCCACCGATGTGTGACATCGAGCACTCCATTCAGCTCGTGCCTGACTATCGTGTTCACCACCAGGCACCCTACAGACTCTCGATCCCCGAGGCCACCGAACTCAAGCGTCAGCTTGAGGAGCTCCTGAGACTGGGTTTCATTAAACCCAGCGACTCCCCGTGGGGTGCACCCGTCCTCTTTGCTCACAAAGCAGATGGAACTCTTCGTCTCTGCATCGACTACCGCGGCCTCAACCGCTACACGGTTAAGAACAGCTACCCCATGCCTCGTTCCGATGAGTNTCTTCGTCTCTGCATCGACTACCGCGGCCTCAACCGCTACACGGTTAAGAACAGCTACCCCATGCCTCGTTCCGATGAGTTGTTCGACCGCCTAGTAGGCAACCGCTTCTTTACGAAGATTGATCTTCGTAGCGGTTACCATCAGATCCGCGTCGCTGCAGCCGACCAGCCGAAGACCGCGTTCGGATCGCGATTCGGCCACTACGAGTTCACGGTGATGCCATTCGGCCTCACCAACGCACCCGCTACCTTCCAGAGGGCGATGAACGACATCTTCAGGGACATCCTGGAGCAGTACGTTCTCGTCTATCTCGACGATATCTTGGTCTATAGTCGTACCCTTGAGGAACACTTAGACACCTCCGCGACGTCCTTGACCGCTTGCGCAGACATGGCTTCTACGCGAAGCTAAGCAAGTGCCGCTTTGCCCAGCACAAAGTGGATTTCTTAGGACACTACGTGTCAGAGCAGGGTCTCCACATGGACGACGTGAAGATCACTGCTATTGCGGAGTGGACCGCTCCCACATCCGCCAAGCAGCTTCGCAGCTTCCTAGGCCTGACCAGCTACTATAGTTACTTCATTAGGGAATACGCTAGGTATTCCTACGTCCTTACCTCCACCCTCCTCCGGAAGAACCCACCCTGGGCTTGGACACCCCTCCACGAGGACGCCTTCCGCGCATCGGTTCTTCACCTACCCGATTTTGACCGCCCTTTTATCCTTACCACCGATGCGTCAGACTTCGCTGTAGGAGCAATGCTTTCTCAGGTCTTCCCCTCATCTCCTGATTCCTCTCATCCTCGTATCCCTCGCTTCCCACCACCTACCCCTACCACTGCTTCCCGACTGACGCCTACTCGTCCAGCTACTGACGAGCCTGCTATTAACTATTCTCCGACCATCGCCGAGGACGACACTGTCGAGTCTCGCTCAGGTGATTGTCCGATAGCCTTCTACTCCGGTCAGCTCCTGCCCGCCGAGATAAACTACACTGCTGATGAACGTGAGGTTCTCGCAGTAGTTTATGCCGCTCGGCACTGGCGTCACTACCTGCACGGGGCACCATTCATGATGCGCACGGACAACTCTGTTGTCCAGGTTTTTCTGACAAAGCCGAAGCTCACTCCTCGACAGGCTCGCTGGTGGCGCGACCTATCCGAGTTTAGTTTCACCACTGAGCACATCAAGGGTGAGACTAATCGGGTCGCAGATGCCCTATCCTGGCGCCCTGACCACGACCAGGAGCACATCCAACTCTCTTCCATCTCGGTCAGCATTGTCCACCACTCGGTGATCGACGAGTTTCGCACTCAGTACCGCCACTGCCCCGACTATCGCGACATCCACGCGACCCTGCGGAGTGGCAAGACCGTCCCGAACTACTCTCTCGGGGACAACGGTCTTGTGTACTGGCACGGTTCACAGGGCACCAGAGAGCCCCGTATTTGTGTTCCCTCCACTGGACAACTACGTGTCCGAGCAGTAGCAGAGTTCCATAACCAGGCAGTTGCCGGTCATATGGGCTTCCACAAGACGTTGGCTCGTGTGAGCCGTCTGTACGTCTGGCCGAAGCGCAAGGACTTTGTGAAGGACTACGTCGYAGAGTGTCCCACCTGTCAGGAGGTGAACAGTGCGAACCACCTACCTTATGGTTTGCTTCATCCTCTTCCTATCCCTGAGGATCCTTGGCAGTCCATCTCGATGGACTTTATCGGTCCTCTTCGACCTCCGACCCCCCGCGGTCATAATGCTATCCTGGTCGTCGTCGACCGCTTCACGAACCGTGCACGCGTTGTTCCGTGCCGCTATGCAATCTGTGCATCTTAGGTCGCCGACATCGTATTTGACCGAGTCGTGCATGACCACGGCTTACCTTTGAGCATCATATCTGACCGTGACCCGCGCTTTATCAGCCGATTCTAGCGACGACTCCACGAGGTGTACTGCACTCAACTCCGCTTCTCCTCGTCTTACCATCCTCAGACTGATGGTCAGACCGAGATCAGGAACAGGACTCTCGGGGATATTCTTCGAAAGATTGTTCGTGACGACCAGCAGTGGGATCTCCATCTTGCCCACGTGGAGATAGCCTACAACCACGCCGTCTCGCCAGCCACGGGGATGTCGCCTTACTATTGCGATCTCGGCTATCACCCGCGTGTTCCCGCGGACTTCCTTCGACCGTCCCAGATATACCCCGACACGAGTTGTCCCGTGCTGGATGATTGGGTTGCACACATGACGTCGATTATGAAGACCGCACATGAGCACATAGCCGCTTCCCAGACTCGCATGGCAGCACGTGCGAAC